ATATATATATATATATATAATAATAATAATATATATATTATTATTATTATTATTATTATTATATATCATATAATAATTAGGATAATAAATAATTTATAGAAGAAAAGAAAATAGTCCAAAGCATCCATTCTAAGTAATTAGTTATGAAATTAGTGTAATTTTTGTAAGTTATCCTTAATATTTATACATTAAAAATGGAAGTTTCTAATTATAAAAATATTTGTACCATCTTTACTAAATTTTCGTATAGTTTAAAATAAATTTTATCTAATTAACTAATAATATATATAAGATTTTAAGTCAAGTCCGTCTAGATGAATTCAACTTGCTACTATATACAATGAACTATGCAAGTGAAAACAAAAGAGCTGAGCGAGATTTGTCTATGTATCTCACATACATGTGAATCACACTAGACACACTACAATTATATATTTAATGTGAGTCACATGTATCTAGAATACCATATACGCGAGCAAATTAGGAGACCGACGAGCAAGATGAAAGGAAGCGAGAGAGACAAATGATATTTGTTTATGTATCTCAAATATACATTATATTTAGAATAAATTACATCCAATCTAGATCTCATCTATCTCAAGATACATGAAATGAGACGTACTTAAACACAATAAAATTTAATAAAAATTAATTTTTAAACTAAATAGATTTAGATAAGTTAAATCCCCGTCTATTCTTTTCCGTTGCGGGACGGGAACCACATGGCTACGACTATTCCCAATATTAACGGCGCCGTCGTAGCCGGAATTGGTACCGGAACCGAGATCTACGGCAATGCAACTCGCCGATCTGCCTTCAGCTTTATGCCTGCACCTTCAACTCTGTCAACCGCTCTTCGTATTCCGACCGGTTCGCTCTTAATTAACTCCGGCCCGAGTCGAGCCGGTCGAGTTGACTCATTCCTTACTGGTTTTCGTCTCTCCTCTTCTTCAATTCGATCCTCCGCCGCAGAGTCCGCCGGGGAGCAAGCGGAAGCTGATTCTTCAGGTCAATAACTATATACTAATTTTGTATTTACTGTAATTACTGTTTATATGAACACATATATGAACACATTGTAGAGGAATGGGTATACACAAATGTGGATTTATAAACAGAGTCCTCCAGATTAACATATATAGTACTACTAATTACTGAATTTAATATTTTTTTCATAATAAGAAAAGCATATATATTAGTAAGTTTTTTTTTTTATATGAATAATGATTGAATTTTGTAATGAATATATCATATAGTATCCAGAAGTTGCTCAATATATGCACATTGCCTTGTTTGTAAAAGGAAAATTAATATTGCATCTTGTTCAATATTAAGCTTGGTAAAATGCTTGGTCCACTCCGTTTATTTTTTGAGAGGTCAAAAATACTTATTTTGAGGAAAAATATTATTTTTTAGAAAAACTAAGGTGTTAAATGGAAACAAAAACATTTTTTTTTGTGTGGGAAGAAATTAATAATTTTCTTTTTAATAAAGTAGAAACAAAAATTTTGTTATTTACAAGACCAAAGTATTCATCAATATATGACTTATTAATTAATTAACATATCTTATAATAAATTTTTGGTTAAGTTTCATTTAATTTTTTTATATTTTATTTGATTTTTATATATTACTATTTTATATTTTATATATTATTTTGTAGGACTAGAATAAAAGATAACAACAATACTTTTGCATATTTAGAAAAAAGAAAAAAAATTAGGACTTTATTTATTTTTTGGGTGAATTTTCCGTATGTAGTGATTTAATTTTTTAAATATTTTTGAATTTATTTTACATGATATTTTTAATTATATTTAAATCATCATATTAATATGACATCAATTTTAAATTATTTTTTAATGTATAATATTAATTGAAAATATAAATACTTATATTTTAATTAATAAAAATAAAAAATTAATTAAAAATTTTATATAGATATTTGAAATAATTTCTCTCTATAAAACAATCAGTATTAAAAGTGTATCGATACTTATCTTTTTTTTTATAATAATTTGACTCTAACAAATATTTTTGGAAAAAAGATTAGTCAAATACAATCTGCTTATCAAAAATACTTTTTCAAATGAATTAGTCAAACAAAAGTTGTTCCTTTGCAATAACACCTTCCCGAAAAGTTATTTTGAGCTATCAAACTTCAGAATGTGAGAGTGATGTAGTTTTAAACAGAGAGGATCATGTTAGTCATATATTCTAGATAAGAAAGCTTTATATTTGCCTACACTTCAGCTCGGTAACACTGATAATTATGATATAGAGCGGGTATAGAGTAAGAAAGGATGATTTGTGCTTGAATAAATTAGTTAGTTTGGTCCTTGACAGGCCACATTGATCTTCTTATGCTTTGATGAATTGCTTCTATTGGCACCACGTCAAGGAGGATAATTTTGACGCGTATATACTCCATTGGTAGTTGTTGATGGAATATTACATTTTGTCTCCCCAACTTGCACCAAAACTGTAACAATTTTAAAAAACTCGAGCATGAAGAAAGCAATGAAAGAGTAGGTCTTCTTCAACTTTCCTGTTAATGTGAAGTCATGGTTTTTTAATGACGTTTTTCCATTTCCATCTTTTGCTTTCTCTTTGTTTTGGACAAAGATATTCTTGAGTTTCCATAGCGCGCAGAGTCACTTCTAATTGCTGTTGCAGCAGAGTAAATAGTTTTTGCTGTTTTTTTAAATTGAGTAGGATTATTTTCTTGATTATACCCTTAAGCTGGTTGAGAATTTATACCGTTCACGTAGGTCACAACTTACATATCCTATTATTCACAATCTAGGCATAATTGCAGCAAATAAATGAAAGCTAAATAAAAATGAATTAACACAAAAATTAACCTCAACAGCTGGATGCTGCATAGTTCATTAGTTTCTGATGTTAGTTATGATTTTAATTATTTTCTGTTCTTTTTTTTGGGTTTTTGCAGCTCAAGGTATTGAGAACTTGGTAATAGTAGGATCAGGTCCTGCTGGGTATACAGCAGCAATTTATGCTGCTCGGGCCAACTTGAAGCCCGTGGTGTTTGAGGGATTTCAAGTGGGTGGTGTTCCAGGAGGACAATTAATGACAACAACTGAAGTAGAAAACTTCCCTGGATTTCCTGATGGGATAACTGGCCCTGACTTAATGGACAGGTACAAGAATACCTTGGGCTGTTCTCTTTCCATGTTTCCTTGGTTATAAGCGAAAAAAGTCTCAATCCTAACCTTATGTTTACTAGGATGCGACGACAAGCTGAGCGATGGGGAGGCGAATTGTTTCAGGAAGATGTGGAGTTTATTGATGTCAAGAACACTCCTTTTACTGTACGAAGTACTGAACGTAAGGTGATGCTTCCGTTTGGTTGCAGGTGCTGCTTAAGTCTTATCTTTCTTTCCCCATTAAAGCACTTGCTCGTCTTACTTGTAGCTTAATCTTTTAGATCTTCGTCGAACAGCTCCTTGTGATGCACAGGTTTTGACCTATGTGCTGGAATATGCTACACAAGTACATTAAGTAACATAACAATTGCTCATGTACTCAGCCTAAATTGAGTAAATTGATCATTAATTGCATCAATCATAGTTATTGATAAATAAGGTGTTGTAATCAACTCGGTAAATTGCTAGAAATTTCACAGCAATTGCTAAAATATGTAATACGAAGTTGTTGAAAAATAATAGACGATAATGCAACAATTGTTGTGATCTTCTGAATCACTTTACCAAAAATTTAGGTCAAATTATTTAGTTGTTGGTTAAATTAGTTAATGGTTTCTGTTTTGTTTAACTGGTGAAGATAAAATGACTCTAAGAAAAAGAAAAACAACAACTGCTACACAGAGACAAATAGAAGAAGAAAACACAAGGTTGGAGAAGTCTATAGAGGTAGGAGGAGGTGGAACATATGTTTCTACCACAAATGTAAATATCTTCGATGATAAATCCAAAAGTAATGAGAAATTGAGAATGTAGAATGTGAGGATAGAGAAGTTGAGGATGAACAAAGAAAAAAGCACCGACATGATATACCTATCCCAGAGGAGGAGACATCTCATACTGCCGAGTCCTCTCCTAACAGTCCTTTACCCGATACCTCCTTAGTCAAGCCTATTAGGTATTCAGATTACAACTTTCAACTTTGAGACCACGATCATAGGTAACCAGATTTGATAGGAGGAGTTGTTACTGTGAAGTCAGGATTAAATAAATCTGTTTTTCGAGTTTGGAGGGATTCTGAAGGAACAATTATTCCAAGTTTTCCCAAGATAACTTATCCTAGGATAAGTTACTCCACCATGTATATGTTATCCCATCACTATAGAAAAAATTGTGGAATAATTAATCCAATGACTACCTAATGCCTCCAACCAAACATGAGATAAAATAATCCTACATTTTTCTTGGAATTATCATAGCTTACACTCACACCAAACGAGCCCTTAACGATCTTTAGATTTTCCGTTTTTGCTAGTTACCTACAACTATCTAAGGATATCAACATAAGATTCCAAATGAATATAGTGTACCAACTTCTTTGACAACTGAATTTATAGCGATATACTATTGTGGCTTGGCTATTAGTTTTGGCATGAGAGAGTTTTCCATTGTCACTGGCTTGAATTTTCATTTGCTAGATGTGTATGATGAAGAAAAACTCTCAACTAAGACTTCTCAAAAAAAAAAACAAAAACTCTCAACTAAGACAATGAGGAGGAAACAACAAATTCTTGACGTAGTGGGGGAGAGTTGTAAGGAGACTGAGTTGGTTAAGCATCTCAAATCCAAGGATGCTCATAAAGGTGTGAAGAAGTCATTACATTCTTTGAAGAAAAGATTTGAAGACAAAGATGCACCTCAATGAATTTTGCTCTCAATCGATGGATATACATTTTTTGCCTATCCAAGGGTCGTTTTAGTTACAATCTTACGATTACATATCTACTGAGCGATGTGAATACCATGAAAAGCCATATTGGTGATCTTCACTTTTGAACTAACCGCGCTCAATAAATATTTAGCTGTAAGATCGTAGCTAACACGAGCTCATGGATAGGCAGGAAATGCTTCTCTATCGGCTAAAAGAAAAACCAATTCAGGCGCAATCTTCATGTTCAAATCTTTTCCACAAAGAATGTTATGCACAAAATAAAGCAAGAACAATGATTTCTTCACACGATTTCTTCACACCTTTACGAACATTCCTGAATTTGAGATGCTCATTCTCCTTGCAACTCTTCCCTGTTATGTCAAAAATTTGTTGTTCCATCCTTGTCTTAGTTGAGAGTTATTCTTCATCATACACATCTAACAAATGACAATTCAAGCAATGACAATGTCAAACTCTCTCATGCCAAAACAAATTGGCATGCCGCAATAGTTTATCCAAACTTCCTTTATTCAATCGCTATAAATTCAGCGTTGAAGAAGTTAGTATATTGTTTTAATTTGAAATTTTATTGATATCATTAGGTAGTTGTAGGTAATTCCCGAAAATGGAAGGTCTAAAGAACTTTTCCAAATTATGTTCCTCCAAGATTCTTTGAAACTAAAAAAAGACTTATCCAATCCTGACTTAACAGTAACTAGAATTTATCATCTAACTTCTAAGGCATCTACATTTGTGGAAGGCACCTATGTTCCACCTTCTTCTATTTGCTTTTATGTACTAATTCTCTTTCTAGTAGTAGTTGTTGCTCTTCCTTCCCTTGGAGCCATTTTAATTTCATCACATTAAACAAAACATAAATCTTCAACCAACAACTAAATTGACATGAATATTTGGTAGAGTGATTCAGCAGATTACAACAATTGCTAGAAAATTCCCAATAATTGTTATATTGATCGTCTATTATTTTTCAACAACTTGTTTTAATATATTTCAACAATTGCTATGAAAAATTCCAGCAATTAATCCACTTGCTATAGCCGATTCAATTAAATATGATTGATACAAATTTACTTAGTTTAAGTTGATTACATCATCCTATTTATCTATAGATATGATTTATGCAATCAATTTAGGTTAATTACATGAGAAAATTGCACCCTTCGGGGTGGTCCAGTGGTTTGGGCTTGGGCTTGGGACTTCCATGTTGGAGGTCTCAAGTTCAAAACCCCTTGCCAACGAAAGCAAGGGGTCTGCATTTTGAGTCGAGCTCGTCGCACCGGGCTTGTCTAGTGCGGATTACCTCTCTTGTGTAATTTGCGAGCTAATGCATAGGACCGAAGGTTTTACCCTAGCACCCAAAGGGTAGCGGTTGCGCGTTTCCCTTGTCATCAAAACATAAAAAACTAATTTATTTGCATAGTATATTTCAACAATGAAACTTGCAGCAACTAACAAACTTGTGTATCATATTTCAACAATTACTATGGAATTTCCAGCTACTAACTAATTGGAAAAAGATTTCGCATGAGCTGGTCAAACTTGTCACCAATTTTAATTTCAAAACTTATTTGTCACAACACTGCACACAATTCTCTCTATTAAGTCCTAAAGGATTACTACTGACTTTTGAAATTATAGATCAAGTGCCATAGTCTTATCATAGCAACGGGAGCCAGAGCTCAAAGGCTAAGATTACCTCGTGAAGATGAATTTTGGAGTAGAGGTATTAGTGCATGCGCAATTTGTGATGGAGCATCGCCACTTTTCAAGGGTCAGGTTCTTGCTGTTGTTGGAGGTGGTGATACAGCTACTGAGGAAGCAATATACTTAACAAAGTATGCAAGCCATGTCCATTTACTTGTCAGGAGGGACCAACTAAGGGCATCATAGGCAATGCAAGACAGGTAGTACACATTTTTATCATCTCATTTTGTGATTCCTCTCTAGAGTACATCCATAGCACGAGTAGTTAAAGCAAGTGAATGATTTGAAATTCGAGTAATTTCACAGAGAAATACTCGTATGTATTTTGTTCTTAGTGGTACGTCACAATTTAAAAATCAAGGTTACAGAGGCACGGTAATAGAGCTCTTCTTAAAATCGACACTGTAACCAACCTTTTTCTCCTTTTTGTGCATCATGGGAGAGGAGGGCCCTTCTTTGGACTTTGACTCAAATAATACTCTTCCTCCATTGATTTGCTTTCCAATTCAGAAGTTCTTAATGATAACTAAGAGTATTTAAGTTATGTAAAACAGCCAATGGTGCTACTTTTAAGTATTCAATAGTGTAATATGTTTGGCAATTATCCTGTAGTTCTGGAAAATGGACCAATCCTGTAATAGTCATTTGAGAGTGTCCTATTATCGTTAAACAGAAATTAGTGGATGTGCTCTTTATGTTCAGCATGTGATTTCAGAAAGCACCTGCAAGTTGCAACTATATGTTTTGATAGGACATACAATCCTCTTAAGTATTGAATAATTGGCTAATCTGGTACTTCTTGTGCTTCTTAAGACAGCTAACTTCAGCTTATTGCTGGCTATTTTTGTGCCTTTTAGCTCTTGTTGTCTTTAGTCATTGTGCAATATATCTCATTTTGTCCCAGTGTTACATACTTCTTTGATCTTTTCCTTTTCAAACGAATAAAATTACTAATGAGTCATATATTTCAAGTTTCAACTCCCTGCATGGTTGTTTAACAGGTTGATTATCGCGAATGTTTCAGAGTTTTTAACAGTTCAAACATCACTGTGCATTTCAACACTGAGACTGTTGACGTTGTCAGCAACTCTAAAGGCCAGATATCAGGCATTTTGATCAGAACAGTTGATACAGGAGAAGAGTCTGTGCTCGAGGCAAAGGGCCTATTTTATGGTATCGGTCATTCTCCAAATAGTAAACTCTTGGAAGGCCAAGTTGAACTTGATAGTGCAGGCTATATATTAGTCAAGGAGAGCACCGCCAAAACTTCTGTTGAAGGTGTATTTGCAGCTGGAGATGTCCAGGTATGCACAGAAATTCATTCTTCCATTCCTATTATTATAATTTATTATCTAGTAACAGCTCCAGTTAATTATTGTGATATTTTCCTGAGATTTAAGACATAAACCTCTATGAATAAATAAATATTTTAGCTATACGGGTCTAGTCTAGACTTCGAAACGTCTCAAGTAAAGAAATATTTTTAGCGAACAAATACCCTGTTTAGCAGGGATACTTGAATGAGTAATTGGTTTTTATCTCTTTCAGAAATTAGATTTTAGGTGTGCAGTGAGAGAGGGAAGCTATCTAATGAAAATGATACATAAACAATGGTTCTCTTGTCCTTTTTAAATGTAACCCGATCGTCCAAAAGGGGGGAGGTGAAATAGAACTCATGGATGGTTTCAAATGTCTTTGTTCTCTGTATACAATGCTCATGCGGAATTCCTTTTTATAAGCAGGAACTCACAATTTTAATATCTTGTTAAAAGTAACTTCTTTTATTTTTCTCGTTTTCGTCTTCAAAAGAAACTCAAGCTTGTTTTCTTCTGCAACGTCTTGCCATGGACACTCTTTCATACCATTGTTACCGTGTGTACGTAGGATCATGAATGGAGGCAAGCTGTAACTGCAGCTGGCTCTGGATGTTTAGCTGCTCTATCAGTGGAGAGATATCTCACAAGCAAAAATCTTCTGGTTGAATTTCACCAGGTATCTGATTTCTAAAAAGAACTAATTTTATGAAGCCATATATCTCTTTTAGAAGTCATTTTATATTTTCCCACTGTTATGCGCTTGCAAATAGATATTTAATCAAGTGTAATTCGACATATAACATTCAATATTTTGCAATGGCTAACTTGTAGATACTGTTTATCGACATTAAGCATATTTTCCTGTTTAAAAGATTATGCATCTCCATTTCTCCATTTCTTACTTGGAACCGATAGTTCATTATCTGATTGATACTCTTGAACCCTCTATCATCAGCCGCAAGCTGAAGATGATAAAAAGGAACTTATGGAGAAAGATGTTCAAGAAAGTTTTGATATAACATATGTGAAACACAAGGGCCAGGTATGAGATTTAGGAAGCTTAGATCTTTTCTGAATTGCCCCTTGTAACCAATTATCCTTTGATAATCATTTTATCTTTGCTTGAATTTTGTTGTTTTTCTTTCTCAGTATGCTTTGCGGAAATTGTACCATGAGAGCCCAAGGCTTCTGTGTGTACTATATACATCGCCATCATGTGGTCCATGCAGGACTTTGAAACCAATTCTTAGCAAGGTATGGCAACTCATTACTTCTATGTAGACATACATCATATTTATTTATATTCCAGGATAACCGACCCACTCTGTCAACAGGGGGACATTGTACAATCCTTTCAAACATAATAATTCTTCAGACATGCCCATATCGGTTTGGCCATGAAATTTGATCAGATTTTGAAATCAAGTTACCAAAAGTTGGCTCAGACTAATTTTTGGGACTTAAACCCACAAATTTTCATTTTTGTTCTGAGTATAAATGCGTCCAAACACAATTTCAAGTACCAAAAATCAAAACTTCAAAAACTCAAATTGTCAAGTTTCAACTTCAAAATTTATGTCCAAACGGGAGCTTTATTTCCGTTTTATGTCAATCATCATTTTGAAGCAAGCTGACGACTTTTGAAAATGATGATTGACACTATATATATATATATATAAAAGAAAAAATTAATGAAGATTTATTATCATTGAAGTAGCAAGAAAGTGTTTCCTTCATGAAAGAGCTCAATTTAAAGAGCAACCCTAGAACTCAAGTTAACATTTAATTCAGTGACTTCTGTGCCAAAGTCAGAAAAAACACCAAAGATATATGTGGAATTTTATTGGTCTTGCAAATTTCTTTCTGCTAGAAGATAAAAGAATTAGATGAGGGGTTGTCCCCACTCTCCAGGGTATTGGTCTAGTTGTAAGAGCGCATAATTTGTAGGTTTAAGGGCAAGTCATGGGTTTGAACATTGTCACCGGTAATGAGTTCGAGCCGTGGAAGCAGTCACTAATGCTTGCATTAGAGTAGGTTTTCTACATCATACTCCGTGGGGTGCGGCTCTTCCTGGACTCTGTGTGAACATCGGATGCTTTGTGCACCAGGATGCTCTTGCATAACCTTATTTCTGCTCACTGATTTGTTTCCTTTGGCTTTTATAATGTAGTGACTCTTTGGCCATAATACTGACTGCTCAATCTGTGGTTGTGCAACAGGTGATTGATGAATTTGACCAGCATGTCCACTTTGTTGAAATTGACATTACTGAAGACCCAGAGATTGCTGAGGCAGCTGAAATTATGGGTACTCCATGTGTGCAATTTTTCAAGAACAAGGAAATGCTCAGGTTGGTTATACTCACTCTTCATAGCGTTGCTGTCTAACGTTATTTTTTACATACTATAGTCGGTTGATTGTCTTCTCTGAACTCTTTGTTTGTATCAAGTCATGCAAGAAATCTTCCATGTTGAGATTTCACTAACACCAACCAAATATGCCTATATTTGGGTTAAGGCGCTATGAACTTCATGTTGTCAGGGATTTTCTGCACGGCATAAAACATAGTTTGAGAAAAAATTTCCCCCTAATAAAATCACACTCATGCAACTACCTCATAGCTCCCACAGTAAAGGTATATATGTTTGACTACTTTTGCTATTGATAACTTATAGCCTAAGACCACTCCCCTGCACTACTATCAGATGTTAGATTACTAATGCCCAACTAATATGTCTCTTTTGTGGAGGGTTTGGGTGGCATCTTCAATGTAATTTGTTAAAATTACTTTACGGTCGGCCAAATGCAACCTCAAGTTCTGCCCGTCTTAATGTTGCATTATACTTTGCACTTGCTAGGTGAAAACTTACTCCAATGAATACATGTACATGATACATATCTTAACATACTCTTATTGATAACCATAGTTAATGAATACACGTTCTAACCTTAATTGTTGACTTAACCATGGTAATGTAGAATGATTTGGTGTAAACACTTAGTGTCACTTTGCTATTAGCAGTGCTGTCCATCTCATTCTCCTACATTAACTTCTGTAACATTCATTACCTGCTACATTTCTTTCAATCTTTAAAATGTTAGAAAGTGTAATGTTTGTTGCCTCAAAATTCAAGTTTTTGCACGGATTGCTCCTATTTCAAGGTTGTCCTTAATTTTTGCCCCTACTGCTCATATAATGGAATGTGTGACCTTATCTCTCAAGGCAAAAGTTATAAGGCATAAGTTCAGAGATCTTTTGCAATAGGAAAAAGTTAAAAGTCTCTGAAGGCACAACTTTGTGGATTGTGAAATAGAACTTATGCTTCCATCGACTTAAGTTTTGTAGGAACTGTAAGACATTAATGTGTGGGTTATGAATTTCGTAAGGCATAACATTCTGAAGCTAAACTTATGCCGATAAGAACTAAGTTATATCTTGCAAGACATAATTTTGGGTTATGAACTGAACTTATGCCTTGTGCCATTATTCTGTAGGAATTAAGCAGCATAACTTTTTATGTCGAAACTATAAACTTGTCTTGCAAATTCTTTTTTGTTATTTTGATGTCAGGGGTATTTTCTACCATTTTTTATTACTTTAAGTGCGGAAGAGCAAAAATTAAAGACCACCCCAAAATAGGGCATTCATGAAGAGAATATTAGAAAGCGTGACATTTGTTGCCTCAAAAGTTTCTAATTTGGCTGCTTGAATATATGCAGGACCATATCAGGTGTAAAAATGAAGAGAGAATATAGGGAGTTAATCGGAGCGAATAAATGAGGATATAGAATTATCTTGTTTATGGCGAAACCAAAATGTTAAGTCAGCAACACTTCCAAGTGCAACTTCTTTTCGTCACATCCGTCTAGCCATAAAAAAGCACGTCTTAGTTGGCACAAATTATTTTCTCCTGGACTGGTCATTTTTTAAACAGACTAGTACCTTGTATTAGCTTAATTTATACTTGAAATTGCACATCACATGTCCTCAATTTGTCAGAAAGTTCGATAGTGATCAAGAAATAGAGTGCATCCAGAAATAATTTTGTTTGAAGATTGTTACTTTGCATTTTACACTATCATTTGTCTATCAGAAGCAACCTCATTACCCCTATCAAGAGTAGGGGTAGATTCTGCTTACACCCTACTTGTGTGAATATATTAGGTATATTGTATTTGTAATGGGTGGTAACTATTGCTATTGGACCTTTATTTTTGTTGCATGGTATTGTGTTTTTCGATTTTTTTGTTTAGAAGAAAAAATAATAATATCATAGATAGATTTCCATGTGAGAGCAATTAGATTTATAGAAATTGTTAATATTGCATTTTCCACATGTACAGTACATTGTTGGCCAGTGAGAACCTTTTTTTTCCTGCCTGGTGCCTGGTCCAAATCTGCATTCTTACTGGGAAGTCACACATTGGGGGTGGGTGGGTGACACACTCTCTAATAAAGGCGACTTTGTAATTAAGTAGACTAAAACTCAAGGCCTTTAATTAAGATTTAAATGAGTATTTATCACTTCACCAGAACCCTTATTAGTAATGAGAATCATTTGTCTTCTGACTGAATCAACTAGAAATGGTGTTTGGTAGAGATTTGGTCAAGGCATCCTTTGCAATAATAAACCTACTATATTCAGCCATTTTTTTGAAGTTAAATTTTGTCAAAACCCATCACCCCTGAAGTCCAATTCATTTATTTTTAGGAAAAATTACTTTTAACTCCACTTTATTATCATATTTTCTTATTTTTTCTATCATTTTAAAAAATATATAAAATCCCTTCTTTTCATTCTATCATCCTTTTTTTTAGATATTGTAATTTCAAATTTCATACCCATGTGTAGATCATAAAATTCGCGTTGAGAAAACAATAATCAAGAACGGAAAATTATAGCAACAATCAATTTTATTATTTCAAATGCGAGTGTTACAATCTCTATAATTCCTCTGAATTCGCCTTTTCAAATATAAATTCAAGGGCTTTAAAGCTTGTTCTTGAATCTATGATGAACTTGAACTTGAACTTTATCATGATCTTGACTTTTATTTGAACTCAAGGGCTTCGAGCTTGTTCTTGAATTCGGTAGTCTTGATCTTGATCGTTCTTGAACTTGAATGCTTGAATTCTTAAACTTGTAGCTTTGTACGTTTGCACCACAGAGTTTCTCTAGCTTCTTGTTTAGAATTTTCTGTCTCTTTTCTGAATCATGAGGACCCCTATTTATAGTTTTAAAATAGAGGAGTTGCGATTGGAATAGGATTCCGTTCTGCCAATCAGATTTATGTGACATGACATTTGGGCTTTATAGAGCGGGCTTGTCATCTTTGACACATGTCATAATTTTATTGGTTTTCTTATTTGACTTGGCATGTCACATCATCTGCACACGTGGCCGCCAAGATGGACTCTAGAATGAGATGGAATTGGGTTTAACAAATTGGGTTCATCCAATGTAGCCCAAATAAATTAATTTAGACTTAATTAAATTCATATTTATTGGACTTAAATATTTAACTCAATTATATCAATCCACAATATTTATTTGGATTAATATATTTATGAATTCAATATAATCCGAATCATTTTATAAACTTATGTTTAATAAATTTTAAATGATTACAAATGCCCCCTGCTTCAAGTCTTGTCGAGATATTTTATCTTTTAGAGACTAGGCTTGAAGCATTAACCGGTTACTTAATTCACATTAGTTAAAAATGAATTATAATTGAATTAACAATTGCAATCCTACTCAATTTCATCCTTATATATATATATATATATATATATATATATATATGTATATATGTATGTATATATTAGTAAAAAAAAAGAATTGTAATTGAACTAGGAATTGTAATGCTATTCAATTTCATATTCCTATATATGGTTTATTGCCCAAACCAAAAAGAAATTATAATTCAACTAGAAATTGTAATCCTACTCATTTTCATATTCATATATATGTTTTATTGGCCAAGCCAAAAAGAAATTCTAATTGAACTGGGAGAAGGATTCTATCCCACCACATGACATCTATAAATAGATGCATTGTCTCCATAATTTTATCTTCAATCATGGATTGTGAGCCTACGACGAAAAGGGCATACTCAAGGTAATTTTCCTCCTTTTTTTTTTTTATTTTTATAGCTTGACATGTCTGTCGTAGAAAATTCATATCTCATTGTAGATTAATCAAAATCATGAACCGTTTGATTTTTCAGAAACTAGATTTTTCGATCTCTAACATACCCGAAATTCAAAATTTAATACCTTCAGAATCTTTCTAAATGATTTTTTGAAGTAAGCTCTAGATTCTGTCATGCTAAAAATTCGTCACTTTTTTTTACTGCCTGACATGTTTGTCGTAAAAAATTCATATCTCATTGTAGAAAAATCCAAATCATGAACCGCTTGATTTTTCAGAAACTAGGCTTTTCGATCTCTAACATGTCCAAAATTTAAAATTTAATACCTTCAGAATCTTTCTAGATGATTTTTTTTAAAGTCCGCTCTAGATTCTGCCATGCTAAAAATTTTCAGATTTGTGTGACTTACTAAAAAAATCTCGTGTCTTGACGTAGGAACAATGAAATCACAATCCACTTGATGATTCCAAATCTAGACATAAATGTCTACAACACATCCAAGATTCAAGATTTAATACCTTCCGAGTCTCAAACATCTTGACGGGTAACATTCTCTCCTTCACTTGTAATTTCCTCCTTTTTTTTTGTAGATCAGCAAAGAAATTTTATATTTTATGGAGGCTACATTATGGAAGGGTTTATCACATAAAAATGTGCTTAACGTCCATGCCTTAACAAAATAAATTAATAATACTCTCAAGGTGTTCCATGGCCCCGAATGCTTAACCAATTTGAAATTTTACAAGAATGTCGTGTAACGCTCCCGCCTTGAAAACAAACTCAAGGTGTTACAACGTCCCGAGTTTTCAACCATGAAACTTTACTAAAGTACCATGTAACGCTCCCGCCTTGAAAATAAACTCAAGGTGTTACAAGGTCCCGAATGCTTAACCAACTTGAAGATTTTCTAGAATACCGTGTAACGCTCCCGCCTTGAAAATAAACTCAAGGTGTTACAAGATCTCGAATGCTTATCCAACTTGAAGCTTTACTAGAATACTATGTAACACTCCCGCCTTGAAAATAAACTCAAGGTGTTACAAAGTCCGGAATGCTTAACCAACTTGAAGCTTTACTAGAGTACCGTGTAATGCTCCCGCCTTTAAAATAAACCAAGGTGTTACAAGATCTCGAATGCTTATCCAACTTGAAGATTTTCTAGAATACCGTGTAACGCTCCCCCCTTGAAAATAAACTCAAGGTGTTACAAGGTTCCGAATGTTTAACCGACTTGAAGCTTTACTAGAATACCGTGTAACACTGCCGCCTTAAAAATAAACTGAAGGTGTTATAAGGTTCCGAATGCTTAACCAACTTGAAACTGTAATAGGATACCGTATAATGCTCCCGCCTTGAAAATAAACTCAAGGTGTTACAAGGTCCTGAATGCTTAACCAACTTGAGACAGGATAAACCCGTGAAAAGACCAGTTTAAGGTGCAAAGGGACAAATATTGTCCACCTTAAGGCATGGAAATTTAAAGATCCTTTTTAAAGATAAATCCGTGGGAACTCTAGCTTAAGATGCAAAGGGACAAGTTTGTTCACCTTAAGGCATAGAAATTTAAAGATTCGTTGAAGGATAAATTCGCAACAAAGCTAGATTAAGATGCAAAGGGACAAATATTGTCCACCTTAAGGCATGAAAAATTTAAAGATCCTTTTAAATATACACCAGTGAAAAGGTCAACTCAAGGTGCAAAGGGACAAATATTGTCCACCTTAAGACATGAAAATTTAAAAAGGTTCTTTTAACTATACACCCGTGAAATGACCTAGCTTAAGGTGCAAAGGGACAAATATTGTCCACCTTAAGACATGAAAATTTAATTACATACGCATTTGGAGACTTCTACTCACATACTTGAAGTCTTACCTTCATACTTAGAGGATTTGAATACTTTAATCTGTTTACTTAAAGAATTTGGATACTTCAAATAATAAACTCGAAGAACATAAAGACTTCAATTTGCATAATTGATCTAATTTAAAAACTTCCACCGTACTAATAAGAGATTTATATTTTATAAGGGTTTCCCCTTCCTTAGTCCCATCAATACTTCGTACAAGTCTAAAGTTTGATGAGACAAAAGATAAAATACATATCGCTTTGACTTTTCTTTGAATCTAAGTGGGAACATTTTTATTTTTGACACTCATGCAACTGAACTTAGAATATGGTTCTAAGCGCCTACGTACCTCAATAAAGAGGATCAAGTCACAACGTAGTTCTGGGGATTTTAGTGGTTATTCTTTTTTTTGTGGTTATGCCGTACACAGTTTATACTCTTGCGGGCCAAGAGTGACATGCAGTTTATGCTCGTAACTTAAGGAGCATCATCTTACTTCAAGGATAGTATCTCTTTAGGAATTTGGCATTAATTGGACCGATCCTTAAGCCATCAGCATCAATAAGCTTGTAAGCACCATTTGAATATGCTTCTTGTACGACACATGGTCCATCCCACTTAGAGGTAAATTTGCCCCCAGACTTGTGCAAAGTAATGATTGATCTTCTTACCGCGAGAACTTGATCTCCAACTTGAAAGCACCTCAAAAGAAACTTCTTATTAAAAGCACGGTATAGACGAGCTTGATAACATTCAAGGTTTTGTTGGGCTTCTAACCTCTTTTCATCAAGTGCTTCTAACTCAGCAAGATGCAATTGAGCATTTTCTTCCTCAATGAGCCTTCTTGAATAGCTAGTCTTAAGGAGGGTATTTGACGCTCGAGTGGCAGAACTGCTTCAACCCCAAAAGCAAGTGAATATGGTGTTGCTTGAGTTGGTGTGCGATATGTATTCGCTTGGAGTTATAAAGAAATGCCTGGATTGAATCCTAGAGTAGCGGTCCATCAATTGGCAGTCAAAAATGGTTCCGGTCCAGTTAAACAAGCTCAAAGACGTTTTAGACCAGACTTGATTCCGTTGATAGAAAGTGAAGTTAACAAACTCATTGAGGCAGACTTTATTCGTGAGGTCAAATATCTTACATGGATTTCAAGCATTGTTAATGTGAGGAAGAAGAATGGTCAAATTCGAGTTTGCGTTGACTTTAGAGATCCCAATAATCCATGCCCTAAAGATGAGTTTCCTCTTCCCATTCTAGAGTTGATGATTGATGCCACCACCGGTTATGAGGCAATGTCGTTCATGGATGGTTCTTTTGGATATAATCAAATCCGCATGTCACCAAAAGATGAAGAACTCACTGCATTTCGCACGCCAAAAGGTATTTATTGCTACAAAGTGATGCCATTTGGTTTAAAGAATGCTGGCGCCACATATCAAAGGGCTATGCAAAATATCTTTGACGACTTGCTCCATAAAAATGTTGAATGTTATGTTGATGATTTGGTAGTAAAGTCGAGGAAGAGGGGTGATCATTTGAAAGACTTAAGGATGGTGTTTGAGTTACTCCGAAGATATCAACTAAGGATGATCCATTGAAATGTGCCTTCGGAGTTACTTCCGGCAAGTTCCTTGGCTTTATTGTGAGACATCGAGGAATTTAAATTGATCAAGCCAAAGTCATGCAATATCAAAGATGCCTGAACCTCGAGATATTCATGAGTTAAAAAGTCTCCAAGGAAAGTTAGCCTACTTGAGAAGGTTCATCTCAAATCTAGCGGGGAGATGTCAACCATTCAGTCATCTCATGAAGAAAGGTGCTTCTTTTAATTGGGACCAAACATGTAGCGAAGCCTTAAAAAGTATCAAATCGTATCTAGCGAAACCTCCGATTTTGGCAGCCCCTATACCTGGAAAACCATTGATACTGGAGCCGTGTTAGCTCAAGAGAATAATGAAGGCAAAGAAAATACTCTTTATTACTTAAGTAGAACGATGACGCCAAATGAGCTAAATTATTCGCCAATTGAAAAGTTATGCTTGGCACTGTCTTCTCAATTCAAAAGATGAAGCAGTATTTCAAGCTCATGTTGTCCGCCTTATTTCTAGAGCAAATCCAATCAAGTTTGTTATGTCAAAACCTGTCCTTAGTGACCGACTAGCAAGATGATACCTCCAATTCCAACAATTTGAGATTGTGTACATCCCTCAAAAATCCGTGAAGGGACAAGCATTAGCGGATTTCTTAGCAGACCATCCTATACCAAATGATTGAGAGTTAACTGATGAGTTTCCTGATGAAGATGCGATGTTAATTGAAGTTCAACCTCCTTGGAAAATGTACTTTGACGGGGCTGCACATCGCGGCAGAGCTGGTGCTGGCGTGGTGTTCATCACTTCACAAGAAGAGATTCTACCATTCTCTTTTACTCTAAAACAATGTTGCTCCAATAATGTCGCTGAATACCAAGCACTGATACTTGGACTTGAAATGGCCGTTGACATGAAACAATTACATTTACAGGTCTTTGGTGACTCTCAATTGGTGATTAATCAACTCTTAGAAAGTTATGAGGTAAAAAAGCCTGAATTGTGACCTTATCATGATTATGCTCAAAAGTTGATAAGATGGCTTGGGGATGTAACCCTTCAACATGTGTGTCGAACAGAGAATAAGAAAGCTGATGCATTGGCTACTCTAGCTTCAACGCTAACCCTTCCTGATCAAACACAAGTAACTGTCTGTC